AATGAAAAAGATGAAATATACTTATTGCTACAGTTTGTAAGAAATAAAAGTTCTTAACCTCTGCAAAAATGTTTTAAGGACATTATTTATTATTAGTCTTTGCTTATTAAAAGTTAGATTAGAAGAAGATTATATAACAATTAAAGGAAATTTATTCTCTACTAGCAGCCATACTCAGCTGGTCGATCAGAAAAAACATTCAATTAGAATGCAGCAAAAACAACATCATGTTTAGATGTAACTGAGTATCTTCTTCAATTACTTTAAAGTAGTTTCATTAAAGAACATCTTGAATTAATGCAGTTACTGATATAACAGAAGTAGTCTGTATTTATTTAATCGAAGTTAGCCGAGGACATGAAGGGGTAAAAACAGGCAACATGAAAACCCACTTCAGACCACAATTAGTTTGGAGTTTTTGAAATTCAGTTTCTCAGTGTGATACCAGGGATGTAAAAGAGGATACATTTATAAAGCAATTGTTAAGTTTGATGAAAATTGGTAGAAAGATCAATGAAAAATAAGAAACCAGTAAAAATCGCCATTTTTCGCTATTTATGCAGGTTTCTCACTATTTGGGTGGACTCAATTATCAAATTAAATGACTATTAAGCAATCAAGTTATTGTTGGCTACAATTGAGTGAAGTTTGTATTAGATTGCTTGAAAATTGAGGGAGTTTTAGTTTAAAATTTGTGCTGAGATTGATTTTTCATTTTTTTATGGTTTCTGATAAACATAGTAGTGTAGAAATAAAAACGAGGTATCACTGAGCTTGTCATGATGTAATTTACCTACATACCGAGTTTGGATGAAATAAGTTGAATTTATTGATTTTGGATCTGTTGGATGGATTTCAAGTGAAGAGGTATTGCACAAACAAACACATGCACACAGACAGACATCCTTTTTTTGTTATATATATATATATATATATATATATATATATATATATATATATATATATATATATATATATAATTAATTGATTTAAAATATGTTTTTTTCACTATTACACAGTTCTAACCATGTTTCAAAAAATTTTGAAACATGGTTAGAACTGTGTAGCGAAAAAAAAAAACCATATTTTAAATCAATTAATTTATAATATTAATGCTCTGTAAATTTACATTGAGCACTATTTCGTAAAAATAAAAATATCTATAAGAACACCGGATTATATATCTTACTGTTCTTTCTTTTTATATATATATATATATATATATATATATATATATTTTGATGCATGTGATATCATTACTAAAAAATTTTTTTTTACTTTTTCAACAGATTATTATGATAGCTAAAAGGAGCATTTAATGAATAAAGATCCTTAAATGAAAAGAAATACTTAATGGATATATTACTATATAGTAAAATACTAAAGCAGAATCTATAACTAACTTCCCTCCCTCACTGAAGAACATAATGTAAACAATGCACAACCATCTAGGGTAGGCTTGACTCACTTCCCAAAATATGACCCCAAATCAATTTTTCTTTTGGAAGGATGTCTTAGTCAGGCAGAGAACTTCTTGTAACACTAGTTTAAAAAGCATCTGTTAAAAAGAAAGAAAACAGAATATCAAAGTTACTGCATAGTGCTGAGTCTTCTTTTAGGAAGAACAAAGTGATTGGTACTCTGATGCTGGCAGAGCAGGAATTAATTTCCATCTGCAACATTGACGGTTCAGGGAGACTCCCAAAGAAAAGAAGCAACATGGTGGTAGAAACGTATGGTCACTGTGAATAAAGAGTATGTTGCTACAGCTGTTGAACATTTCAAATAAAGAGCATGGACCTAGAGAGGAAATATCAAGTGGTGGTGATGGTAGGGAGGAACAACCACTGTGGGTAACCCACAGTGGTTGCACCTCAAAGATTCAAACAGATACTAGAGTGCTCTTGTTTAGTACTAATTAAACTATTTCCACTTTAAACGAACTTTGTGAACAAAAAAAAAAAAAAAAAAAAAAAAAAAAAAAAAAAAAAAAAAAAAAAAAAAAAAAAAAAAAAAAAGAAAAAAAGAAAAAAAAAGAAACAGAGTGCAGGATTTTGAATCAAATCCAACTATAAGAATTTAATGTGGAGAAACATTTTATATTTTCTTGAATCAATATAACTTACTTGTGCAAAGATAACCTTAAATATATCAACGATTGACTGCAATCATTTCAGATTTAATGTTAATTATTTCTATGAGGCAATGTTTCATTATATAATAATCACAACACAAGATTTCATTCTGATAACACATATAAATCATGTAAAAATGCATTTCATTTAATTGTTACTGATTTTCAAATTACTGACTAATTTGAATTAAAATGAAATCAATCAAGATGAATAGTTCCTTCAGACCAGTATAATTAATTTCACCTAAAAGAACAGTTTGCATTAAAATATGTAAATGAAATAAAGTTGTTAAATTCAAGTGTTGATTAGAAGAACAATATATATATATATATATATATATATATAAATAAATAAATAATTCTTTTTGAATTTGTATTGAATTGATCATGATTACAATTCCAATGTAATAAATTATAACCATGGAATATTAGTGTTTGTTTTTTTTTTATATTATATATATATATATATATATATATATATATATATATATATATATATATATATATAAAAATCTAAAATCTGTAAGCTATAGCTGACATGGTAGTATTGACAGCTTTGTTATATGTAAATTCACTTATTGAGCTTTTTCAATCATTCTTAATGAAACAGATTACATTCTATTCTTCCTTTAGCAAAGTGTAGCACTTGTTGAACTTCTGGCAGCGGATTCCACACTGGTTCCAATATTTGAGAATTGGTTCCAGTCATTAAACATGGATTACTTCCAAAGAGGAAATGATTTGTATTGTAAGATAGGAATTGAATGAGCTCCCAACATGCAACCTCTTAAATTCAAAACAATATAAAAGAAGGCAGTTATGATTATTGCAAATAAAATATTTTTTGTTTAATTACAAACTTTGAATTTAACCATTTCTAACTTAACTATGATTCAATCAATTTGGATCAACTTATTTTTAATTCAGGTCAGATTGGATCATTTGGCAGAATGTTTATCAAATTGGCTTTAAAAAAAAATTACTGTATTTGACGGCATATAAGGTGCACTTTTTTTTTTTTACTAAAAATATATTTTAAAATTCCCCTGCGTCTTATACGCTATATGTTGGGTTACTAATTTTACTAATTACTAATTTTTCCTTGAATTGCCCTGCTGAAATTGGGGTGCGTCTTATATGCCATCAAATATAGTAATTAAAATGATCCAATGAGAATATCATTGATGCATATTTGTAAAAGTTAATGAATGTTTTTTAGGATTAACTTTTGTTGATAAATTTGATCAAATTACTATTTTTTTTTTAATGAAGTGAATATGGAAAAAAAAAAAAATAGAGATTTTACTGACATCTGAATCTATCATCTCACTTAGTATTCAAAGATCTCTTTTTTCAGGCTTAGAATCTGAACTCTTTATATTGAAAAAATTCAACATAGAAAATAGATCGAACATTTAGAGAATACTGCTGATTCATAAGATTTCTTATAGTTAATATATTTAGAGCAAAATAAAAATTCTAAATTTAAAATTAACCAAAAATATGAACCAAAGAAAAATTTTGTGGTTGAAGTCATAATTTCAAAATTGGATCAGAATTTTTGAAATGATTGAAAAAAATGGACCAACATCTTGAGAGATACAAAGATGAAAGACATATTAAAGACAAATGACAGAAGCATTATATATTAAAGTTCTCTTGAAAAAATATACTAGCAACTTTAGCATTAGCAACTCTTTGGTAATAAGCAATCCATATTTACCAACCTCCTATCAGTCATTTAGAGTTGTAAGACTTTTTATGCAAGGAATGGCTAACATTTTAAATATTATGAATGTAAAGCAAGAAAAACATGACATTAAATGAATGTAAAGGCATCTTAAAACTTGCAAAAGAAATTAATATTGTTGAAAAACAGGGAAACAGTTTTTAAGTCAGTCATACATGAAAAATAATTTTGGATATGTTTGGAATGAAGACTTATGCTAAAATGAACTTTAAATGGTTTATGCAAAATTAAAAACAAGACTGAACACTATTATTAATTGAATTTTAATGTCATTTTACAAGAATGTTTGTCTGAATTCCTCAACATTTAAATATACTGAAATCTTAGATAAATTTATTTTTCAGTGCGAAAAGCAATACAGTATTACATTACTCATACAAACACTATATAAAGTCATCCTTACCTAAATGTTTGTTTAATATATGTATTTAGTATTTACTAAATTTATATCAGGTCTCTTCTAATTTAAGTGATATCTATTTCTTGCTCTCTCTCATATATATATATATATATATATATATATATAAAAAGATAAAAGTGGACACATACTAACAAGAACAAAATTCTAAGATACATTTCTCATCTCAGCAGTATTTACAGATTTATGCACAGACATACACAATATTGACATAGCTAATCTCTCTCTCACGCACACATACACACGTGTGTGTGTGTGTGTATATATATATATATATATATATATATATATATATATATATATATATATATATATATCTATCTTTAATGTACACACCCCATTGTTCAGGCCATGGATTTGAAGAGATTAGCTAGTCTCTAAGGGTGGCAGAGCACTGCAAGTATTTAATGTTTTGCTTCTAGCTTCAGCCCAGACTGTTTAATTAGGCAGAGTTGTCTCCCGTGGGACACACTCCCTGGGGCACAGCTCAGAATGGAGCGAGTGGACACGAAAATAATGCAGCTAGCAGCCTTTCCCCATCAGAACCACCATCAGGTACTTCATCTATCAAACATCTTTTGATCCGATTGCATTTTTGTGCTCCTTAGGGACATAGCTCTTCACTGGCGAGTAACTCTAATCAATTTCCTGGGCCTGGCTAGCCACCGTATCCAGGGACCTATTACAGTGCCTCCAAATTAAAGCATGTCCAGATGCCGCCTTTCAACACGATAGTAGTAGCAGAAAAAAGAGGAAAGGCAAAAGGAAGGAATAGTAATAATAGTAAAGTGTGCTGGCGGTAAGAGTTGAAAACTAATAATTAATACCGCAGAGACAGTTTGTAGGAGGATGTGAGGGGGGGGGGACATGATGTTTCTCACTTTTGAAGAACTAGAGAAAAGAAACAGAATAGAATATGCGAGGGAATTAATATGGGGAAATTGTGAGAAATAAAGAGAGAGAGAGATAGAGAGAGAGGTTGAATGAGGAAGAAGAATTTTTGACACAAAGAATTTTATGAGAGGGTAGAAAGAAGAAGATAACAAACTATCACAGGAAAATAACAAAATAATAAATTTATGAAGAATAGGAAAAATGATTTGTGATGGAGGGACAAAGAACAAGAAGAGTGAGGAAGAGTGAATTTGATCTTTCATTTATGAGAGAAAATACAGTAGAGAAGTATTTTTGTCAGGGTTATGAAATTTGAATTTCCTTCTTGAAGGTGAATTTGTGAAAATGTTGAACTGTTGAGAAAAGAAGTTTAGCTCGATCACTGAGAGATTTACTTTGCATAGCTTTGCTAATGGTTTAGTAAAATAGTACACCAAATATCAGCAGTTAGTTATTCTACCAGGCATATGGGCAAAGACTATGAAATATAAACAGTCAGGTCCATAATAATATCCTAGTCTTAGCTTTAATTTTATGTTCCTCATTACAGAAGTTTTTTATTTTTACAGGTTTTTTTTTAATGTTTTTCTTTCTCTGAGAGTGAGATCTTCACTTTAAACTAATATAAAAAAAAAAAAAAAAGATGTGTTTTGTCTATTTGTGATTCATATTAATTAGTTTTTTTTTTCTTCCTTGTTCTCTTTTCTTTTTAAACCTTTTTCCCTTCAATTTGATCCTCCATCACTTCATTTTTTTTTTTTTTTAAAAGATTTCCTTAGGCGCTTCTTTTTTTTTTTGGTGGTGATAACCATGTCATTTATTTACTTTCACTTTTCATCATTAAAAGTTTTACAAAATCTATATTTTTTTAAATAATAACCAAATTTTAATTATAAGATTATTTTTTTAAAATAATCAAAAATACTTTTTCAAAATAAAACTTACAGTAACTCTGGCATTGAACAACCACTTTGTAAAGTGAGAACCTTCATTAAGTATATATTGACTAAAATAACTAGATTCAAATTAATTTTTTCTGAGATAAACACACGTTGCATAGGCATGCATTTTAAGCATGTAAACCAAAGTTATTCCCAACACAAAATTTAACAAAAAAATTAGTCATAATGTTTTTAATTTTAGGGTATCATATATACATTTTGTGATATTTCCCCCTGCTGGAAGGAATGTTTTTAAATTTAATAAGAAATATATTTAAAGTGTATTTTCATTCTAAGATGAATTTAATAATAAAAATTTGATAGCATTTCAATTAACATATCTCAAAAATTTCCAAATCAAAGAGATTTTCACCACCCTCTGTATATGCTCACAATCACATGTAACTGCTATCATAATGTACGTCTGTGTGTATATCTATATTCAAAAGGTAATTTTGTCATTTCTTTTAACTTCTTAATTATCCTTATTGTCTACAAAGCCAATGCCCTATCAAGCATGTCACTACGCTTCTCTTCCAACCTCACACATGCATACACGACAATGAGACAATGTTAGCTATAGAATGTTTGTCCCTGAGGGGGATGTGAACCTACACCAAGCTGACAGCTTCCCTAGAAAGTGGATTCCTCTGAGATGTGGCATTTGCTTCCATAGCAGACCCTGCAGTGATAACATGAGACTTTATACAATTTTTGCAAGAAATACTCAATTCATTTTTCTCTGTCACTTAATCTCACCATATCCAAGTCATGAAAAGAGGACAAGATTATGATGAACTTTAAGTCCAGTTAGGAAATAAAAAAAAAAAAAAAAGAAGAAATATCACTATTCTGTTCATTTTATCACTTTGGAACTAGGATGTTTGTGGAGCTTGCAGTATTATTTTTCTAATTTTTGGGCAAGAAAACAGACATGCTGTGGATAGAAAGTAGCTGAGAAATGGCTAATACAATGAATATTTGAACATAAAATCTGTGCTATGGATTCATACATGTTTTGTGTCATTTATTTATAGGCTAGGATAGAAACTCATTATCATTTCTGACATCAAAATAGTCAAATGTATTAAAAATTAACAGTGAGCAAAATAAAGGGTTCAGTTCGACATTCCAACCACCTGAAGAAGGCCGGAACATACAACTGCCGAAATGTTGTAATAAATATGGTGACAAAGATGAGGACAATAGTCCGAATAATGTAAATAATGTACATAATACCTCATCTCAGAAATATAGACAGATACTAAAAATTAACAGATACTACAAAATAATGAAATAAAAATTATTTTGATAGATTTGATGGTTTACTTCCAAATATACATAGAATATAAATAAGAAAATAACCAGAAAAAAACAACCAATCATCAAAAGATTATAGTTAAGCGTTAAGCAATTTACAAATTGATTTGATTTGTTACTCTCAGAATACTTACATTGGATATACTATAGTCTAGCCTGGTTTTAGATAGACACCTACACTTGTATGACAAATTATATCAGAGAGCAGATAGCAATTATCATTTATGAAATGGAAGAAAATGATTGAATGTTTGACATTAGCTTTCAAATTCATAGCATTTGATATACCATGTGCCTGAAATCATTGCTTGAATAATGCAATATATTGTGAAAGTTTTATAGTGACACTGAAAACCACATTGATGTTCAGGTACAATAAATGAAATTATGAACAAGCAAAAGGATATTCACAGATAAAATCAGATTTCATGGGTAGACATCTTGAATATTTGTGATAATAATATTAAATTCTTGACCAATGAATCAGAGAATAAAAGCAGCTACTGATATGATTTTGAATGATAACTTTTACATATAGTCATGAAAACTGCTGTTTTAATTTCCATTAATAAGTTAGTCATATTTTAAAAAAAAACGACAAAACACCAAAATGATGGTTATAAATTATTTATATTGTATGGAGTGGATTAGAAAAATTAAAAATTAACGAAAAGCTCAGATCTCAAAATGTTAATATCAACACCTGAACAAAGTTAATATTTAGCTGAAAAGATAGATATCAACATTAATTATTTTACTTCCAAAAAAAACTAAACCTCTCCATTAATCATCTACCTTCCATCAGCATGGCTAACCTCCAGGAAAGTAACTCGTTGTGCCTTCTAACATTCTCAGCTGACATGAAAAGGAAAGATTATATTGAATCCATTGATAGATCATCTGTTAAGAAACTTGGTTCACTGTGTCGAGCAAGACAATTTTTTTTCTTTCCAGAATCTATTTTACATATCTATAAGTCTACGATTTGTCCATGCTTAGAATATTGCTGCATATGGTCTGGTGCTCTTGCTGTTTATCTTGAATTCCTTGATAAAATCCAAAGAAGACTCAGCAATATTATAAGTCCTGATCTGGCGGTTCGGCTTCAGTCATTTTCCCACCACCATAAGGTTGCCTCTGTCTTTTCTATAAATACTTTCATGGTAATGGTTCAGATGAGCTCTTTGATATGGTACCTAGACTTTTTGAATTTAAGTGCAATACTAGACTGTCATCAAGATCTCACCAATTTATAGTTGAGCTGGCTCGATGTAACTGTAAGTTCTATGCAAACAGTTTTTTTTTTGCCCTTCTCGCTTACAGTTCCACATTTTCCAGCAACCTTTAATCTGCAAAATTTTAAATGCAATGTCAATTGCTATCTTCTGTTCTCTTGATTACTCTTTTCTCTTCCGGTTTGTTGTTAATGTTTCTGTTCCTGCAGTCTTCCTCTTAATTCATTTATGCTCCTTTCCTCTTGTTTACATTAGTACTTCTAATTAGTACTTTACTTTGTTTACATCAGTACTTTTCTTTCTCTTTCCTACTTTTGAGTTTAGATCCGTTTGTATTTTTAAGTTAAACTCTTAGTTTTATTATCTTCTGTGTACTTACATATCTCTAGCGTAAGTTTAACTTTATTTAAGAAAGTTTACAAATAAGCTATTCTTTGATATTGTTTTCTACAATTGTCTATAGTTTAAAATTGTTAGCTGCCAAAATTAACTAAAACAGTTTATAATTTCTCATTTATAACATGTCAACCAAAAAAACAGTAATATGTATAGACACCCATAATTTATAGCTGGATACACACTCAAGGAAGACAGGAACGTAATGAAATGACAACTATAGAAATGAAGTTTAAACAAAAATTTTAGATAAAGAATAAAGAGATCGAAAAGAAGGTAAATGTTGAACTGAAACTGCAACAAAAGAAAGCAAACCAATTGATGGTGAAAATTAATGGCATTCTTCAATTTGCAATAAACTTGTGTAAATTGTGGGGAATTTCTGCTATTGAATGAGGTGTTGATATTTCATTTTTCATAAAAAAACAACAATGATTTATTTTTTCAGGAGAACAGGTTTCTGTTGTATTTATTCAACAATTTTGGGTTGAATTCTATCTTCACTGTTTCAGCCTTCCACTACAACTTCCAAGGACTATCTACTTGTCAAATTTGGTAAACTTCTGTGACTCAGTATCTGTCTCTATTTCTGAGATGAGGTATTATGTACACTATTTACATTATTCAATAACTGGTTAAGGCAGTGGAGAACTTTCAGAAGGGAATTAACAGGAGATAACTGACATCCATTAGACATGGCACATGGAACTAGAACAGTCTACTCCAGTGAGTGAAATAAAGGGTTCAATTCAACATTCCAACCACCTGAAGAAAGCTGGAGTGTACAATGGCTGAAACATTGTGATAAACATGCGACAAAGTTGAGGACAATAGTCGGAATAATGTAAATAGTGTTCTGTGACTCAGTTTATGACAGACAACAGGTATTATTTTGACTGAAAAGAGAAAAACAAAGTCTTTACCCATGCTTATTAGCTTGAGACATAAATGTTAGTGACTATTTCACTTATGTTTTATTGCTAGAAGTTTACACTGATTTGTGACTTAATGAGATAATTACCTAGCAATTGTTGTAGTACAATTATACTTCAATAGAAAATGATAATCATTGGATAGACACTATCACTACAGAGAATATAGGCTAAAGAATAAGTATCTACAATCTATTTCAATTAGATTAGTTTATTAATTTTGTAATAAGTGGTTCAGTTCAAAACTCCTTGTAGGTTACCTGGATTGACATACACCTAATGAAGGCCAAAGAACGCAACAATGGAGACATTGTAATAAAAACAACAAAGATGAGGACAATAGTCCACATGTAAATAATGTAAATAAACTAATGTTTATTGCTATTTCAAAGTTACTGTATTATATTATATATATATATATATATATATATATATATAT